TGTCTTTCTCCTATAAGGACACTTGTCATTGGATTTAGGGCACAGTTGGATAGTCCAGATATCTCATTTTAAGATTCTTGACATTTTCACATCAGCAAAGACCTGTTTTCAGATAAGGTAGCATTTATAGGTCCCAGGGATTTGATGTGGATATCTTTTGGGGGCCATTTTTTTGGCCTTTCACAATATCTGACACAGTGTTTGGTTTACTATAGTAATGGTCCATATACAGGGCCATTATTTTTTAAATTATAAATTAAATTAAATTATTTAATTATATAATTTATAATTTAAAAAATTTATTGTGATAAGAATGCTTAACATGGAGCTACTGTTTTAATAAAGTTTTTAGTGTACAATACATTATGGTTGACTGTAAGTACCATGTTGAATAGATATCTCTAGAGCTTGTTCATTTTGCTTGACTGAAACTTCTTGCCCATTGATTAGTAACTCCTCATTTCTCCCTCCCCCAGCCCCTGGCAACCATCATTCTACTCTTTGAGTCTATGAATTTGACTATTTTGGATACGTCGTGTAAGTGGAATCATGCAGTATTTGTCTTTCTGTGAGTGGCTCATTTCACTGAGCATAATGTCCTCCAGGTTCATGCAAGTTGTTATATCTTGCAGAATTTTATTCTTTGCAAAAGATGAATAGTATTCCATTGTTTGTTTTGTTTTGTTTTGTTTTTGACATGGAGTCTCTGTCATCCAGGTTGGAGTGCAGTGGCACAATCTTGGCTCACTGCAACTTCTGCCTCCCAGGTTCAAGTGATTCTCCTACCTCTGCCTCCTGAGTAGTTGGGATTACAGGCACGCACCACCATGCCGGGCCCATTTTTATATTTTTAGTAAAGACGGGGATTCACCATATTGGCCAGGCTGGTCTCGAACTCCTGACCTCAAGTGATCTACTTGCCTTGGCCTCCCAAAGTTACAGGCATGAGCCACTGCGCCCGGCCACATTTTCTTTATTCATCTGTCAGTGGGCATTCAGGTTTTTTCCATGTCTTGGCTATTGTGAATAATGCTTTAGTGAACATGGGGGTACTAATATCTCTTTGAGATCATGATTTCAACTCTTTTGGATAAATACCCAGAAGTGGGGTTGCTAAATCATACAATAGTTCTGTTTTTAAATTTTGGAGGAACTTCTGTACTGTTTTCCACAGTGGCTGCAGTCATTCCTACCAGCAGTGCAAAAGGGCTTTATTTTCTCTTCATTCTCACCAACACTTCTTGTCTTGTTTTGTTTTTGATAATGGTCATCCTAACAGGTATAAAGCGATGTCTTATTGTGGTTTTGATTTGCATTTCCCTGATGGTTAGTGACATTGACCACCTCTTCATGTATCTATTGGCCATTTATTGGTCTTCCTTGGAGCAATGTCTATTCAAGTCTTTAGTCCACTATTACGATTTTAATGGGACTCGAATGACAATAAAAGTCAGTTCTCAGTAGCCTAGGGGCTCTTCTTCGTGTATTATTTTTCAGAGATTGACAGACGCACTATTTCTCCAGAGAGAAAGGCATGAGAAAGGGATGTTGTGATTGACAATTAGCAACTGGTTGAAGTGGGAGTTAAAAGGGTCTAGTTCCCCCTCTGTCTTGGATCCTCGGATAATTCTGTGGATCTTGGCAAAGAAGTCTGGTCTCTCTTTAGTCAGAAAATAAGTCTCTCCAAGCAATAGAAAGAATATCGTGTTTTGGGGTTAGGCAGATGAGAGGTTTTGCGTCCCCTTTTCCTTGCAAATAGTTGTATGACCTTGGACAAGTAAATTAATCTCTCTAAGCCTTAATTTCCTCATTTGCAATTACCTCTAGGTGTTTTACAGATTAAAGGAGGAAATCTGTAGAAAGCGCCTCAGTGAAATCATATTCCACCTCTGCTCAAATTTTCCAATGGTTTTCATCTCTCTTTGTCTAAAAGCCAGAGTTCCTATGATGTCTTAAAGAACCCTTCATCATCATAACCTCTCTTGCACTAACACCTGTTCTCTTCCTCCTCGTTCATTACCCTCCAGCCGTACTGACATACTGCTTTTCCTCTAACACACAAGACACAACCCTACCTCGGGTCCCTTGCACTTGCTGTCTCTCTGCCTGGAAAGCTCACATCTCAGATGACCATATGATTTGCTCCCTTCCTTTCTTTAGGTCTTTACTTAAAACTCATCTTCTCAGTGAAGCCTTTCCTGGCCATTCTGTCTAAAATTTACCCCACCTCACTGCCATCCAATACTTCCTATTCCCTTCCCTGCTTTACTTTTTCATCTTATCGCTGATTACTATCTAACTCTGCCTGTAATTGTTTATTGCCGGCTATCTCCACTGGCATCTTCAAAAAGGCAGGAGTCACTACGGCTGTTCACTGCTGTACCCCAGTGCGTAGAACTATGTGTGTTACATGATAAACACAAAATACAAATTTGGTGAGCTGATTTGAATTAATGATAATTAGCTAGTTCCTTTTTACCATTGAGCTTCAACTTTCTAATTCGTAAAATGAGAGAGTATAGGCCAAAGTGACTTGGACTGTGAGCTCCTAGAAGGCAAAGACAATGCTGATTTGAGTCTGTATTTACACTGTCCAGCACCTAACGTTGCATTCAGGAGGCACAGGATGAACGTTGAACAGATGGGCAGATAAATATGTAACAACTTGTGACAGGAAAATAAGCTGTGATGAAAATTTATAAAACATAGTATGATGATAATTAGGAACCCTCTTACTCCATATTTGCATTTTGATATCAAAAAGCTTTACAAAGCCATTCATTTATTCATTCATTTGGCGAATACACACTTGGACCTTCTATGTTCCCAGGCATTTGATTTAGGTACTGAGACTATAAGTCAAATAGGACATGGCTGCTATCTTAGAGTTTCTTGGTGCCCCGTGTGGGAAATTCACATGTGGATGTCCATTCACTGAAGACAAGCCCAGGAAAAAGGGACCATTTCAATTTTGGGGATTCAGGAAGCTTCCTCCGAGGAAGGACCATTTACAATGAGTCTAAAAAGAATGTTACTTTACCTGGGAAAGAACATGAGGAAAGGGATTCCAGTCCTAGAGAATCACATTTTCATTTTCAATGGCCTAAGAGTTGTGGAAGGTTGTGTTGTTGCCATTGCCATCAGCATTGTAACAGTAATAACTGTTAACATTTATTGAGTCTACACTGTGTGCCGGTCACTATCCTAATCTGCTACATGCAAAATCTCTAAGCCGAGAGATAACCCACTGGAAATATTCACGCCATTTATCCCCACACATCCTATGGGCAGGTAGAATGGGCTTTATTGTCCTCCTTAAGAAATGAGAGACTTAAGACTCTAATTCTCTTTGTGCTGTCACTAAACTGGCATCTGAATAATGTAGCAAATAACTTAGTAGCCCCCACAAAACCCCATTTTTTGCTTTCTTCACAAACTATTTTATTTTCTCCTTAGCATTCATTGCTATTTTGTGTTTTCTCTGTGTATGTGTGTGTATATGTATATACATACATATACATATATACATATATCTGTATATGTATATGTATGTGTATATATATGTATATGTATGTATATATAGTGTATATATACACATATATACACACATTATGTATATTATATATACACACACGTTAGATATATGTATTTTTAGAGACAGGGTCTTGCTCTGTCAATCACACTGGAGTACAATTGTGTGTTTATAGCTTACCTTAACCTTGACCAACTCCTGGGTTCCAGGGATCCTCCTACCTCAGCCTCCTGAGTAGTTAGGACTACAGGCACGCACTACCATACCTGGCTAGATTTGTGTGTGTATATATATATTTATTTATTTTTTGAGATGGAGTCTCTCTGTCTCACCCAGGCTGGAGTGTAGTGGTGTGATCTTGGCTCACTATAACTTCCGCCTCTTGGGTTCAAGCGATTCTCCTGCCTCAGCCTCCCAAGTAGCTGGGATTACAGGCACCTGCCACCACACCCAGTTGATTTTTGTATTTTCAGTAGAGATGGGATTTCACCATGTTGGCTAGGCTGGTCTCGAACTCCTGACCTCAGGTGATCTGCTCGCCTCTATCTCCCAGAGTTCGGGATTACAAGTGTGAGCCATTGCACCTGGCCTAGCTGGCTAGATTTTTAATTTTTTGTAGAGATGGCGTCTCGCTGCATTGCCCAGGCTGGTCTTGAGCTCCTGACCTCAAGTAATCCTCCTGCCTAGGCCTTCCAAAGCATTGGGATTACAGGTGTGAGTCACCATGACCATTACTATAAATACATATATGTTTAAATTTGTACATATTCTCTTATCAGAAGGTGAAATTATGAGGGAAGGGACTTTGTTGTTTTTGTTTGTTTGTTTGTTTGTTTTTGAGATGGAGTCTCGCTCTGTCGCCCAAGCTGGAGTGCAGTGGTGCGATCTCGGCTCACTGCAAGTTCCGTCTCCCATATTCACACCATTCATCCTTAGCCTCCTGAGTAGCTGGGACTACAGGCACCCGCCACCATGCCCGGCTAATTTCTTTCTTTCTTTTTTTTTTTGTATTTTTAGTAGAGATGGGGTTTCACCATGTTAGCCAGGATGGTCTCGATCTCCTGACCTCGTGATCCGCCTGCCTCAGCCTCCCAAAGTGCTGGGATTACAGGCATGAGCCACCACACCCAGCCGGTTTTGTTTTTTAAGACAGGGTTTCACTCTGTTGCCCAGTCTGGAGTGCATTGGCACTATCTTGGCTCACTGCAGCCTCGACCTCCTGGGCTCAAGCCATCCTCCCACCTCAGCCTCCTAAATAACTGGGACTACAGGCACGCATCACTATGCCTGGCCTAGAACTTTTGCTTGCTGCTATACCCCAAGTATGTAAGATGCCCTCCATAAACATGTGTTGAATAAATGAAAAAAGAAAGACCTCATGAGGTTATTATTGTGTAGGCTCATTGGTGAAAAATGGTTGTCAGCCTTTTTCTAAGAAACACAACTATATCTGATTTCTCATTTCCAGACGGCACAGTTTAACTGGGATCCAGAAACAGTGGGCCTTATCCATGGATCTTTTTTCTGGGGCTATATTATGACACAAATTCCAGGTGGTTTCATTTCAAACAAGTTTGCTGCTAACAGGTAAGATAAATTGATATAACATGATACAAACCAATGAAATGTGGCTTTGTACCTATGAATTCTGCATAGCTAGCTCTCAATTTGGGGGTGCAGAATGAAAAATAGGAGCCATCTGGATAGATGTAACTCACAGATACTGATCCCAAATGACCCTTCTCTTAATTTATTTTTATTTTTGAGACGGTGTCTCACTCTGTCACCCAGGCTGGAGTGCAGTGGTGTGATCTTGGCTCACTGCAACCTCTGCCCCACCCCCTCCCCCACCCCACTCGGCATTCAAGCAATTCTGGTTCTTTAGCCTCCTGAACAGTTGGGATTACAAGTGTGCACCACTGCACCCATCTAATTTTTGTATTTTTGGTAGAGACGAGGTTTCACCGTGTTGGCCAGGCTGGTCTCAAACTCCTGACCTCAAGTGATCCACCCGCCTTAGCCTCCCAAAGTACTGGGATTACAGGCGTGAGCCACCAGCACCCAGTCAAGAGTCTCTTTTTATTTCATTTTTCATCCAATTAAATTTACCTTGCAATTCTTCAAGTGATTATGTGGTAAAAAGAGCAATCAACTCTGAGTCAGGAGAGGTTTCTGGCCCTTAACTGGATCACTGGGTGACCTCTATTGAGTCACTTTCCTTCCCTCACTGGGCCTCAGTTTCTTCATCTGTGAAATGAAACATTGGACTAAATTGTATTTCAGTTCTCCTTGACCAGTGACATTCTGTAATCTTATGTTAATATCACCCAGAAAAGGTTTTCTCAGATGAGTGGTGGGGGCTTGCCTCTAGACTGCAAGATGGGTCTCTGATGTTCTTGAGACTCTGTAGTGGGTGTTTGAGCAATTAAAAGTATCCAAGAACAGAGTGAGCTGTCTCAAGAAGCAGTGAGTTCTCTGTCACTGGAGGTATTCAAGCAGAGGAGGATGGCCACTTGGGGGAGATGTTGTAGAGTGTATCATGTATTAGAAAAGGAGTGAACTAAATCTCTCCAGGTCCCTTCCAATTTTATTTCCCATATGACTTTCCATAAATGGATTTCATGAAGTGCATTACATTTTTAAAAAATGTTTTTTTCAAATTCTAAAGCACAACTCATTAGATAGTTGTGAAAACAATATGATGATTTACCAACGAGCATTTTTTAAAAAGAAAGAGAGAAATAGAAGAAAAGATAATCAAATAGAATAAAACAGAATAGAAAATATCTGAATACATTGCACAAAAGGGTAAATATTGGTTTTTGAAACTTGTTTCAGTTACATTTGTATGTATGAGTGTGAACTGGGTTGCAATATAAAATATATTTTGTTTACGGGTTAAGGTAAAAAAATTGGAAGCCACTACCATAAGATCTCAATATGAATAAGCATGTATTTATTTAGGTTCTTGTCTAATTTATGTCTTTTATTTATTGCTACTTACCTATTGTATTCTTTTTAAAAAGTGATAAAATATTGGTTGCTATGGTTTCCTGGGTTACTGCTTACACCTCTGCTTTGAAAAAAAATCACACATAATCTAATTTCCCAGCACATAAAAAATGTGGAAACATCATTAACATATGTGAGAGGGGAAGAAAATGCTGCTTGCTCTCTTTTCCCAGGGTACACTGGGCTGGTCAGGGAATGGGAGCTAAGACAGGTACACAACCTGTTTTGTGCTTCTGGTCCCAGGACATACAATGCTTCTTGGATAGACAGTGTTTCCTTCTGGTAAACTGAGAGCAGCTCTGGGAAGCAGGAAACAACCTCAAACATACAGTAACAGTCAGAAAAGGTCGGTCAGGGGGAACCAGGCAGGATGGTAGGTCTCTAGCAAGCTTACCTGAACCTGGCCAATCTCCAACTTTTCAGGACGTCATCCAGGCAGGACATCCCTGTACTGCCAAAAATTTGTTCATAGTTGGTCCAGGGGCCAGAGCTTGGGAATCAAAGAAGCCCAAGAATCTAGCTTGGGGCACACTAGACCCTAACACATCTATTTCCCCAAATTACAGGTGCCAGCCACCACACCCGGCTAATTTTTTGTGTTTTTAGTAGAGATGGGGTTTCCCCATGTTGGCCAGGCTGGTCTCAAACTCCTGACCTCAGGTGATCCACCCACCTCAGCCTCCCAAAGTGCCGGGATTACAGGCATGATCTTTCCACAGGGATTTCCACAGGGATCTTTCATGAACTGTTAGGTTTGTTTCTGGTGCTTAGCTGAAGTACCACATCCATCAGCCGGCCTGCCGAATAACACGGTGCTTTGGTCCCTCAGGGTCTTTGGAGCTGCCATCTTCTTAACATCGACTCTGAACATGTTCATTCCCTCTGCAGCCAGAGTGCATTACGGATGCGTCATGTGTGTCAGAATTCTGCAAGGTCTAGTGGAGGTAGGAGATACTTTCCTTACAGTTTTTGATGTTGCTAGAGACAGCCTAGTCCTTTAGAAAATTCAGCTTCTGAAGAAAACTCCCTTTACTCAGTGTTTTTCTATATTTTCTTCCTTTTCCTACTATTTCCATTCTCTGGTAATGGCTAAAATTTCAAGAATTGTAATTCAAATGACTTGCATGGTTTTACATTTAGGAATAATAAAGGACCCTTCCATAATGATCTTAGGGATAATCTAACCCGACCCTCTTCATTTTAATGGATAGTGAAACTGAAGCCCAAACCTACAGTTCACATAGCAAAGGCTCATTCCACTAAAGCAATTTAAGTGGATTCATTAATAAATCTGTACATTTTCAAGGGTGTAGTCTGATGCAGAGATTTAATTCAATGAGGGAGGCACCATGATATGGAGCCAGAAGGTAAATATTTTGAACTTTGCAGGCCATACGGTGTCTGTTGCACCTACTCAACACTGTTGCTGTAGTGCAAAAGCAGGCAGAAACAAGCTAGAAACAAATGGGCATGGTTATGTTCCAATAAGCATTTTACAAACTGAAATTTGAATTTCATATGATTGTTGTGTGCCATTAAATATTATTCTTCTTTTGATTTTTTTCTCACCATTTAAAAATGTAAAAAATATTCTTAGCTTGTGGGCTACACAAAAACAGATGGTGAACCAATTGGCCCATAGTTTGCCAACCCCCGATATACAACAGTGTTTCCCAAACACAGTCATTCACCTCTGACCTTCATCACTTTGTTATGCCCATGTACAGCTTGTACTATTATTTGCCTATTGTTTTCCCCTAGATCGACTCATTTAAAACAAAAAACAAAAAACCAAAGATACCTATTATTCTAAGCAACAACATCTTTGAAATCATGGGTTTGATGTGCTAGTTACATCTTTTCCTTTTTTTTTTTCCTTTGAGATAGAGTCCCGCTCTGTCATCCAGGCTGGAGTGCAGTGGCGTGACGTTGGCTCACTGCAACATCCGCCTCCCGGATTCAAGCGATTCTCCTACCTCAGTCTCTCGAGTAGCTGGGACTACAGGTGCCAGCCACCACACCAACCAATTTTTTTGTATTTTTAGTAGAGATGGGGTTTCACCATGTCGGCCAGGCTGGTCTCGAACTCCTGACCTCAGGTGGTCTACCCACCTCTGCCTCCCAAAGTGCTGGGATTATAGGCGTGAGCCACCACACCCAGCCACTAGTTACATCTTTTTCAAAGCATATATATACACACACATATATATAGTATAATTATATAAAAATTTAATTATATATAGATTAATTGTAATATATATACTAGCATATATGTGTTATAATTAAGAATGTAAGTTGTTTTATCATTTCAAATCCAACTCTAGTCCCACTAGAGGGACATATATTACACTTTGGGATGTACCCGTGTGGTGGAAAGAACGCGATATTAGCGTCCATGAAGACTAAATTTTAGTCACTTAATAGCCCTGAGCCTCAGGTTCTGTATCTTGAAATGAGAGGATGGACCAGCTGACTGTGGAAGGCTCTTCCTACACTGATAGTCTATGATAATATGAAATATAAATATAAAGACCTTTCCCCCATCTTCTACCATGCTTACATGTGAACTGTATTTGAATTTCAGCATCTGTACTGTAGTCAAAAATAGCTGAATCATGCTGTTTAGTGTCTGTCTTAGTCCATTTGGGCTTCTATGGGATACCGTAAACTAGGTAGGTTATAAACAAAATAATTTTCTTTTATTTTTATTTTTTAGTTATTTTTTTGAGACAGAGTCTCACTGTGTCACCAAGGCTGGAATGCAGTGGTGCAATCTCAGCTCACTGCAACCTCTGCCTCCCAGGTTCAAGCGATTCTTCTGCTTCAGCCTCCTGCATAGCTGGGATTACGGGCACATGCCACTATACCCGGCTAATTTTTGTATTTTTGGTAGAGACAGGATTTCGCCATGTTGGCCAGGCTGGTCTCGAACCCCTGACCTCAAGTGATCCACCCACCTCAGCCTCCCAAACTGCTGGGATTACAAGCATAAGCCACTGTGCCTGTGCCTGGCTTTTTTTATTTTTATTTTTTTATTTTTATTTTTTTGACAGTCTCACTCTGTTGCCCAGGCTGAAGTGCAATGCTGCAATCTCAGCTCGCTGCAACCTCTGCCTCCTGGGTTCAAGCGATTCTTGTGCCTCAGCCTCCCAAGGAGTTGCAACAAGCATGCACCATTATGCCCAACTAGTTTTTGTATTTTTAGTAAAGATGGAGTTTCATCATGTTGGCTATGCTGGTCTTGAACTCCTGGCCTCAAGTGATCCACCCAGCTCGGCCTCTCAAAGTGCTGGGATTATAGGCATGAGCCACTGCTCCTGGCCTAGAAATGTATTTCTTACAGTTCTGGAGGCTGGGGAGTCAAAGATCGAGGTGCTGGCAGATCGGTGACTTGGGAAGGCCAGTTTCCTGGTTCATAAACAACTACCTTCTCTTTGTCTACTCAAGGCAGAAGCAATGAGGGAGCTCTCTGGAGTTTCTTTTATAAGGCACTAATCTCATTCATTTTTTACCTAGTCACTTCCCAAAGGTCCATCTCCAAATACCATCACATTGGGAATTAGGTTTTAACACAGGAATTTGGTGGGGACACAAATATTCAACCTACAACAGTGTCTATAAATTGGGCTTTTAGATTGTAGCCTGTGTGAAGAAGCAGCATCCATATTTTAAACACAAGCAGAAACTAGAGTCAAATCAACTAATCTATTTTCAACTCTTCTGCCAGGGTGTGACCTACCCAGCCTGCCATGGGATGTGGAGTAAGTGGGCACCACCTTTGGAGAGAAGCCGACTAGCCACAACCTCTTTTTGTGGTGGGTATATTAGAATAATAACAAAGTTTATTTACGAATGCATTTTTTCGGTTCATGCGGTGGCTCACACCTGTAATCTCAGCACTTTAGGGAGGCCGAGGCAGGAAGATCACTGGAGCCCAGGAGTTCGAGACCAGCCTGGGCAATATAGTGAGACTTTGTCTTTAAAAAAAAAAAAAAAATTAGCCGAGCGTGGGAGTGTGTACCTGGGATCCTAGCTACTAGGGAGGCTGAGGCAGGAGGACTGCTTGAGCCTGGGAGGTTGAGGCTGTAGTAAGCTATGATGGCCACAGCACTCCAGCCTGAGTGACAGAGTGAGACCTTGTCTCTAAAAAGAAAAAAGAAATGGAATGCTTTTTTGACTTCAAGTAACTGAAAACCCTACTAAGGGCCTTAAAATGAGTCTATTTATTTTACATAACAGTATTCTAAAGGTGAGTGGTTGTTAGTATTGGTTCTGCCGTTCAAAAATCCATCCAGGGCCTAGGCATGTTCTGACTTTCTACTCTGCTATCCTCAGAGATAGCTTTTTATTTACTCCTGTGCTTATTCCATCTGTCCCTTTCATCAGGAAAACAAAAGCTTTCCCAAAGCCCCTTACCAACCTTCCACTTTAATTTATTTGGCCCTAACTGTGTCATATGCTTTACTAACTGCAGAGGAGTCTAGGCAAGCAGATACCTAGCTTCACCAGCCTCTTCAGGAGTGAAGGGGAAGGGAGAAAGGGTTGGAAGTGGTTGTTGGATTAGCCAGCAAATGACATTTGCTAAGGACAAAAGTGGAAAGATGGGATCATCAAGCATCCCACGCCTCTTCTTTTTATATGAAACTAAAGTTCAGTGACTTGCCCAAGATCATGGAGCTAGAACGACACCTGACTTTTGATCTGGAGCTTTCCTTATTTCACACTCCTACCACGCACACATTGTCATATAGACATTTAAATTAATTTTTGTCATCATATCTCAGATAATAAGAAGTAGAGACCATCCATCTCATCTGAAAGTAAATGAGTAGTCCCCAACTAGTATGTGACTTCAATTCCTGCTTCTCCAAACTTCACCTTGCTGAGGTTGCCCATCTCCAAGCTACCCCAGTGGGACTGGCCTCTCTAGGTGTGGCTGGGTCCCTAGGTACCAATCAACAACAGAACAACAACAGCACATGCTGCTGCCATCAACACAGTGGTAAATGTGTTGAGGGAAGGGGCCCATGAAGGTAAAAGTACCTTAGACCAGCCAGGCAAGGTGTCTCGCACCTGCAATCCCAGCACTTTGGGAGGCTGAGGTGGCAGATTGCTTGAGCCTAGGAGTTTGAGACCAACCTGGACAACATGATGAAACCCCATCTCTACCAAAAATACAAAAAATTAACTGGGTGCAGTGGCCCATGCCTGTGGTCCCAGCTACTCAGGAGGCCAAGGCTTGAGTCTGGAAGCGGAGGTTGCAGTGAGCCGAGATCACACCATTGTACTCCAGCCTAGGTGACAGAGTAAGACCCTGTCTCAAAAAAACAAAACAAAACAAACAAACAAAAAACAAAACAAAAAAACCGCACAACAACAAAAACCTTAGACCACGGAAGTCACCATGTAGCCTAAGCGGTGTGAATTACAGCTTAGGTCTGTCTGCTTTTGAAGCTAGCACACCTTTCCTAAGATGATATTCTTTGCTAAAGGGAGAAATATCGCTTTCTATTTATTTCTGCATATGTTTTAATTTTCCTCTTCCTGCTGGCCTTTTACCTCCTTGAAATAATAATAAAGTAATCTTGAAAATGTGGTGTGAGGTATTCACCGATATGCCTACTTTGTGCCTAGTTGGGAATTGCATGCTCAGCCTTGATGTCTTTACATCTTTAGTGTCTCTTGTCCTTAGAAACCATCTTCATCTGCTCATTTGCAGTTTAAGAGCATCTCCATCCCACTACTGTGCTTACACCAACTCTAGAAGAGGATAAGACTCCACCCTAGCTGGCCTTGTGACTTGTTAGATCCTTGACCTTACTTTCTTTGGATGGTTTATTTGTAAGACCTTTCGTTTTGATTTGCCAGCAAAATGAGAATGACTAGCAGCCACTCCCCATTCTTAGTGTGTTTTTATAGCCCTAATAGGGTTGATTTAAGAAATGGTTTGACTCTCAAGGAAAGTTACCTGATCAAGGACACAAGCTTCATTACATGTCCCAGCTAAGGTGTGGCCTTGGTTTCAAAGAACAACCTAAGGAAAATGTTAAAGAAGGAAACCCAGGCTTGGAGCGAATCAATTCTTAATCTCAAAAGATATTGGAGTTAGAAGGGATTCTAGAAAACATCCACTGATACGGTTTGGCTGTGTCCCCACCCAGATCTCGTCTTGTAGCTCCCATAATTACCATGTGTTATGAGAGGAACCTGGTGGGAGGTGAATGAATCATGGTGGTAGGCCTTTTCCGTACTTTTCTTGTGATAGTCAATGGGTCTCATGAGATCCGATGGTTTTAAAAACGGAAGTTTCTCTGCACAAGCTCTCTCATTGCCTGTCGCCATCCACGTAAGATGTGACTTGCTCTTCTTTGCCTTCTGCCATGATTGTGAGGCCTCCCCTGCCACGTGGAACTGTAAGTCCAGTTAAACCTCTTTCTTTTGTAAATTGCTCAGACTTGGGTTTGTCTTTATCAGCTGCATGAAATCAGACTAATACACCCAGTTACAACCCATTGTTTTATAGTGGAGCAAACTAAGGCTGAGCGAGGGAAAAAAGATTTAAATTCTTGCAGCTAGTGAGGGCAGAACCGGGACTTCTTTCTCACCCCCAGTTCCGTTCTTCCCTTCTCCACATATCATTCAACGATCATCTGAGGCCCAGGGGACTGAGCTGCAGTCTGCTCCCCAGGGTAGCCTGGGAGCAGCGGGGGGCAGCTGCACTAAGGTCTGAGTGCCCTGTTGTCTGCTCAAGGGGCTGTGTCTAATAGGAACTGACATTGGAGGGTGTCTAAAAGGATGAGGAAGATTTTTTTCTGATAGAAAAGAAGGGTAGTTTAGGTAACATTGTGTATTAGTCTGTTTTCACACAGCTATAAAGAACCACCTGAGACTGGGTAATTTATAAAAGAAAGGTTTAATCAACTCATGGTTCTGCGTGGCTGGGGAGGTGTCAGGAAACTTACAATCATGGCAGGAGGCAAAAGGGGAGGCAAGGCACGTCTTACATGGTGGCAGGAGAGAAAGAGAGAGAAGGGGAAGTGCCACACTTTTAAACCATCAGATCTCATAAGATCTCACTCACTGTCATAAGAACAGCATGGGGGAAATCTGTCCCCATGACCCAGTCACCTCCCACCAGGTTCTTCCCTCAACACATGGGGATTACAATTTGAGATGTGATTTGGGTAGGGACACAGAGCCAGGCCATATCACATTGTAAAGTTTCCCCAATGAAAGAACGCTTCTTACTATGTAAGGGGAATTATCAGGTGATTTTGAGTGAAGGAGGCATAACTGAAAGATTAAATAAGAGTAAGGGCTTTGGGGTTCCACAGACCTGGGCCCCTATCCAGTGACTTGTCATCTCCTCTACCTGTGTGACCTCAGGCAATCCACCTCCCCTCCCCCAGCCTTTCTCCTTATAAAATGGAGGTCATCTTGGTACCTACCTTGTCAAGTTGAAGGAGAGTTAAACAAAGTCATAGGTACAGAATACTTAGCATGATACTAGGCGCCCAGAAAGCACTCAGTGCATCTTAGTTGGTAGGGGTTATTCTCTACCTGCTCCTGCCCCAGGTATTCTTTTGCATTACCTAAACCAGACTCACCCACGCCACCTCCCAGGGTATTTGGCCTGGGGACGAAGGCCACCCTATCTCCATGCACAGCAGAGTCAAACCTGCAGCCCATTCTCAACACATGCCTGGAGTGCTCACCTTATTGGTTTGAGGAACCCTGAGATTGTTTGTTTTTTGAGTGTGTTGTCATTCTGTACATGATAATAGCGGTAATAGCTGGCATTTGTGTAACCCTTTATAGCTTACAAAGCATCTTCACATACATAGTTTATTTGAACCTTAAAACAGCCCCTTGAGATGGATATTTCATTCCCATCTTATCTCTGAGAAAAATGAGTCTCTTGACTTCCTCGGGTGTCAAGATGTTCAGATTCCAAATCTCAGACTGGGCCTTTCACTGAGGGTCAGGCCCACCTTGGAAAGATCGGATTTAATCTACTTCTCTGGAAGATCCCCAACCTCCCATTTCCTAAAGATCTTCCTTAGCATTGAATTCTGGGATACAGAATTTCCTTTCACCACTCACTTTTTCTGAAGCAAGAGTTTTTTCATTTACAGCCCAGGGGGAGTTTCAGAGAGTAACTTTTCCTTTCAGCTAATAACTCCCAATAATGGGAGGTCACAGGGCTCAAGTTTCCCTACCAGATGTCCAGAGGATAGCAGAGGTCAGGTCACTGCCTCTAGTCACAATTTTCTTGTCTAGACAAGATAAACATTCACACACAGGTAAGCATTTGCAAGCTTAAGTTTTACAAAGTAATAAATACATGTAAAAATGTACTCATTCAGGAGCTGAATGGAGACAACAGCCCTCTTGCCATCTGGAATTTAATTGTTCACTCCTCACCTTTTTTTTTTTTTCTTGAGACACTGTCTCGCTCTGTCACCCAGGCTGGAGTACAGTGGTGAGATCTTGGCTCACTGCAACCTCCGCCTCCCGGGTTCAAGTGATTCCCGTGCCTCAGCCTTCCAAGTAGCTGGGATTACAGGCATGTGCCACCATGCCAGGCTAATTTTTTGTATTTTTAGTAGAGATGGGGTTTTGCTATGTTGACCAGGCTGGTCTTGAACTCCTGGCCTCAAGTGATCTGCCCGCCTCAGCCTCCCAAAGTGTTTGGATTACAGGCATGAGCCACCGTGCCTGGCAACCCTCTCCTTTTTGTTTTTTTAATCAAGACTTTAAAAATCATGATCTTTTAAATAATTTAATGTCTGTCATTTAAAGATCTGGATGAGAATCCTCCCAGTCTTCCTAAGCAAATTTTGTATGTTCCTTTGCTTGCTCTTTTTAGCATCCAATATTGTGCCTGGTTGAATTTTCAAAATTTCTCTTAGATTTTTTTCATCTTCTGATTCCATTCTCTCATGTAATTCCAAACTGTGGTGCTGGATCAACCTTTGTCTAGATCCTGTGTGGTCCCTAGATGGAGTTAAAGGGCATGTTGGTGACCTTCCTCTCTTGGAAGCCCCATTCTAAGGCACACTGGGAGTTTGTCTGTCTCTCTGCGCGGAGACAGTCTGACTCCTGCTCAGTTGGATTCATTCCTGACTTTACCACATGAATTCTAAATGAGCTGAAAAGGCTTGTGTGATGATTGGTCAGATTCCCTCAATCTTTTCTTTGTTCCAGGTTCCTATGCAGGGGCAGTGGTTGCCATGCCCCTGGCTGGGGTGTTGGTGCAGTACATTGGATGGTCCTCTGTCTTTTATATTTATGGTGAGTGATTTGACTTCACAAGTTCACATGTGACTCATAGAGATGATATTTTACTGCATATGGGTTTGGCTCAGAGTTCATTACATCAAAATAGAGATTACTAAAACAAGTTTATTGTATAAATGGAATACTTTATCTATGATTCGATTAATGTTTAAAGTTGACCTAAAAAAATAAGCAGAACATTGTCTTTCTTTAAATACCAGTTAACAACAAGTTGTTGTTGTTAACAACAACAAAATACTTTCCCCTAACTGAACATACTGCCATTTGGAAATATTGTAAAGATCCTTTTGTAGTTCATAAACATGATAGTTGAGTGTTCACATGCATGTGTGAGATGTTTGAGTCCCTCAAACCTTGTTACAACATTGGCACATTACCCATTTTACATGCAAAAAATATATATGGTAAAAATTGAAAAATTTAGAAATGGAAGAAAATGAGACCATATAACCCAGCCTTTTCTTTTTTAACTGCAGGTATGTTTGGGATTATTTGGTACATGTTTTGGCTGTTGCAGGCCTATGAGTGCCCAGCAGCTCATCCAACAATATCCAATGAGGAGAAGACCTACATAGAGACAAGCATAGGAGAGGGGGCCAGCGTGGTTAGTCTAAGTGTAAGTATAAAAAGTCAGATGAAGACTTACCTCTTTTCATGAGTGATTGTGTTGCCTATTTACAGAAAAAATGTCAATATCTTTACTAAAAAATCTCATGGTATTTTTTACTCCCTAGAAATTTAGTACCCCATGGAAAAGATTTTTCACATCTTTGCCGGTTTATGCAATCATTGTGGCAAATTTTTGCAGAAGCTGGACCTTTTATTTGCTCCTTATAAGTCAGCCTGCTTATTTTGAAGAGGTCTTTGGATTTGCAATAAGTAAGGTAAACATACAGATGCTCCAAATATTCTTGAACTTTAAATCTTTTGATTCTACAGAGAATAACTTTGTATGATAAAATAATTAAATTGCTGATCATAATTCATAACAGTTCTGTGACACTTAATAGCCCGGCTGTCAGACAAGTTATACATTCTATGCATAGTATGCATAGCTGTTTAATTTCTTCTTAGCAAGGATCAGAGTTGTGTTAAGCTGCTTTAAAGATTTACGTTTTACCCAATCTTAAAGTGTTTTTGAAGCTAGCTCAAGGATGGCATATTAGGTGAGGATAAAAAGATTTGAGGGTGTGGGTTTCTTTTTTTTCCTATAAACTACTCAGTGAGTAACAGTAAGAACCTTAACACTCATTTTGCAGAACACCCCGTCTCCATAATGGTGGCTATAGCAGTAACAATCATTGCTTGCAATGGGTTAGAAAGAACCTCTTTCTGCCAGGCATGGTGGCTCACGCCTGTAATCCCAGCATTTTAGGAGGCCAAGGCAGGAGGATCACCTGAGGTCAGGACCAGCCTGACCAACATGGCGAAACCCTGCCTCTACTAAAAATACAAAAATTAGCTGGGCGTGGTGACACATGCCTGTGATCCTAGTTACTCGAGAGGCTGAGACAGGAGAATCACTTGAACCCAGGAGGCGGAGGTTGCAGTGAGGCGAGATTGCACCACTGCACTCCAGCCTGGGCAACAGAGCAAGACTCTGTCTAAAAAGAAAAAAGAAAAAGAAAAAAAAGAAAGGACCTCTTTCAGTGCTCCCAGACATTATCATCAAGCCAATTGTGTTTTAGGGAGGAAGGGTGTGGATAGTGAATCATAAACTGTCATCATAAGATAATTAAACCTCTTTCTACAAGGGAAAGAACAGCAGCCGCGCAGGCACAAATGTCTGCCTAGCTACAGATACTGTCAGAAGTGACCATGGAAGAGCTGGCATAGTCGTGAAATGGTGGCTGTCATCAGTCATCAGTGCTCACTGGGTGCCAAGTTCTTTATCTCCCATGTGCCATGTCCTCTGTGATGAAGAAAAGTCATCTCTGCCTTCAAGGAGCTTCCAATCTGGTAGAGGACACAGATAGGTCTAAAATTATTCACTCATTCATCATTTATTTATTATGAAATTCAGGCCTTCCCAGATCCCACATAATTAGATGCTTAAATTTGGTGGTAGGTAGGGGGGCTGTGGAGTGGAGGTGGGCAAGGGAATTAGGGAGGCCCCTCTCTCAGAAGTAATGACAAATTGCTTATTGTTTCTTTCCCTTCCAGGTGGGTCTCTTGTCAGCAGTCCCACACATGGTTATGACAATCGTTGTACCTATTGGAGGACAATTGGCTGATTATTTAAGAAGCAGACAAATTTTGACCACAACTGCTGTCAGAAAAATCATGAACTGTGGAGGTACTGTGGATTTCATAGATGGCTTAGGCAGCTTTTGTAGAATTAGGGTAAGCGGAACTGCAGAGCACATATTAAGAAGTGACTTTTAGGCCAGGCACGGTGGCTCACGCCTGTAATCCCAGCACTATGGGAGGCCGAGGTGGGTGGATCACGAGGTCAGGAGATCGAGACCATCTTGGCTAACACAGTGAAACCCCGTCTCTACTAAAAATATAAAAAATTAGCCGGGCTTGGTGGTGGGCGCCTGTAGTCCCAGCTACTTGGGAGGCTGAGGCAGGAGAATGGCGTGAACCCAGGAGGCGAAGCTTGCAGTGAACCGACATAGTGCCACTGCACCCCAGCCTGGGCGACAGTGAGACTTCGTCTCAAAAAAAAAAAAAAAAAAAAAAAAAAAAAAAAAAAAAAAAGTGACATTTAATCATTGGAGTGGATCTTAAAGACCTCTAAGTCTGTCCCTCAGCAGATACTTGAGTGTTGTACATCACAGTCCTGTCAAGAGGTCATCCAGCCGGGACTCTTCCATACATCCTTCCACATTTATTGTTTGCTTATGTAGTTTATTCCCTTCTCTCCTTACCTTTCTACCTATCCATATGTTTTGGTAAGAAACAGAAGAAAAGTAATCTTTCCTCCTAACCTATGCTTGTGCATGGAGTATACACACACACACACCCCATTCTCTTTCCTGGTTTATTTAGCTTCTGCTTTATGTTTTAATTTTGTAAAGACAAAGTGAATATTAGGTGATTTCCCAAAAGAGGTAGGCGAAAGTAATTGTGAACCCCTACAATGTTCATAAGTGCTTTTCAAAAAACTCTTTTTTGTTTAGCTTTTAAAATGAACATTTATTGAATGCTTTCTGTGCCAGACATTAAGCTAAATCTTCTACATACATTATTTAAAAAATCTTTATAACCACCATGTGGAGCAGGTACTATTACTATATGCAATTTGCAATGAGGAAACAGAAGTAAAATAAAGGGACTTGCTCAAGTAGCAGATCCCTGAAAGGTATCAGGTCTGCCGGAGCCCACCGCCAAAGCTTAGTTTGCTGCTACCTCTTTGGGGAGGACTAGAATCAGGATGAGCGAGCAGGAGGTAGAGGATAGCGCACCTATGGGCAAGAGCTCACAACTGTGATATTAAGTTGAAAGGGACGGATTGCGCATGTTCTGACAGATTAGCTAGGTCTGGAACGTTTAAAAGTGAAGACTACCGAGGCACACAGCAGCAAGCATGATCTGATCCCAGAGCATTTCGGGAAGAAAGCCTAAGAGTCTGTTGGCACCTATTCTCCCAGTTGCTTGACTGCTGGTCCCAGGCAGGGATGTGTGGGCCTGACCTTAGCTTGAACTTTCCTGTAGGGGACTGAGGGTTAGTGGATGTAGGCTTGCTGTCTGGTAGGCAGGAGGTGAAGCTCTGGGATATTGTATTCAAGTCCTCTCCAAGAGAGCTGTAGCAGCCAGAATAATGTCCATGTCCTGATCTTCAGAAGCTGTGAATATGTTTCCTCACATGTCAAAAGGGACTTTGCAGGTGGGATTAAATTGAGTTTCTTGAGATGGGAGTTTATCCTGCATTATCTAGGTGGGCCCAATCTAATCACAATAATCCTTATGAAAGGAGGAAGGAGGGTCAGAGTCAGAAAAGAATATGTGATGGTGGAGGCAGGAGTCAGAGTGATGCAGCCACAAGCCAAGGAATGCAAGCAGACCCTAGAAGCTGGAGAAGACAAGAAGAGATTCTGCCATAGCACCTCTAGAAGGAATGCAACTTCGTAGGCTGCTGCCTTGACTTTAGTCCTGTACCATTTTGGATTCTCGGCCTCCAGAACTGTACAATAGTGCAGAGAATATTTTAGAGGTGACATCTAATCATTGGAATAGATCTTAAAGACCCCTAAGTCTATCCCTCAGTTAATACTTGATATTTGTATTGTTTTGAGCCACTGAGTTTGTGGTAATTTATTCCAGCAGCAAATGAAAACTAATACAGTGGTAGGCCGGGTGCAGTGGCTCACGCCTGCAATCCTAGCACTTTGGGAGGTCGGGGCAGGCAGATCACTTGAGCTCAGGAGTTCGAAATCAGTCAGGACAATATAGTGAGAACTTGTCTCTATTAAAAAATCAAAAATTAAAAAAATGAAAACTAAATACAGTAGCCAAAGCCTCACCCTTCTAATAATAAAATTCTGCTCCAGCTGAACAGCCCTCACCCAAGCCCTGAACATATCTTTCTGTCTCTGACTTTGCCCACTCCTTTTCTCTTTCCCTGTGAGTTCTCACCTTCATCTCTTACCCCAGTCCTCTCTATACATCCAGCTCAGTTCTCCTCTTGTGTTTCCTTAAAGCCATGCCATTCTCCAGTGATCCCTCTGAATATGTCCACATGGCTATATTGGCAACTCATCATGTGGTGCCTTCTTACAGCTCTCTCAGGAAAAGATTTTAGGCAGAGAGAATAGTATGTGCAATGACCCTGGGGCAGGCAGGAATGTGGCCTGTGTGAGAATAGAAGGAAGGGGAGTCGGAATGGTTGAGTGACAGGAGATGGGATTGGGATGTTTTTCTAGGGTCAGATCATGTCAGGCCTTGTCGGCGAATGCAGAGCTTGGGTTTTATTTGAAGTACATTGAGATACAGATGATTTAAAACACAGAATGGATATGGTCTGATTTTTTTTTTCTTTTTTCTTTTCTTTTCTTTTTTTTTTGAGACAGAGTCTCGCTCTGTTGCCCACGCTGGAGTGCAGTGGCGCAATCTCAGCTCACTGCAACCTCCGCCTCTTGGGTTCAAGTGATTCTCCTGCCTCAGCTTCCTGAGTAGCTGGGATTACAGGCATGGGCCTGGCTAATCTTTCGTATTTTTGTAGAGACACGGTTTCACTATGTTGGCCAGGCTGGTCTTGAACTCCTGACCTCAAGTAATCCGCCTGCCTCGGCCTCCCAAAGTGCTGGGATTACAGGCGTGAGCCACCTTGCCCGGCCTCATTTATTTATTTTTAATGTGGGGAATTATGCAGGTAGAAGAATAAAAGAAGGGAGACCAGGTAGGAGGCAATTTCAGTTGTCCTGTCTAGAGAAGGTGGTGGCTTGGACAAATGAGGTGACAATGGAGATGGAGAGAGAGGGGTTGATTTCTAAATTCTCGGGGCCAACATTTCTCATCTTTAAAATCTACATAATAATATTTACTTCAGAGGATAGTTATGATAATTAAATGATACAATGTATAAATACAATGTATAAATACACTTAGTGTGGTGTTCAACCTATAAAAAATTCTCAACAAATGTTAATGCTGCTTTTCTTCTCCTGTGTTCAAGACGCAAAAAACACAGAAATGTTTCAAAGAGTTCTTTAACAAGTATCTGTGATTCAGTTGTATTTCCCTTGGCCAAAAACATGTACTTCTAAACCAACAACTTTAAAGAAGCTTCTGGATTTAAACACTATTTGCACAACCTCTTCTAAACTCAGATGCATTGGAGATTCTTGAGCATATTTTGTGGGAATGTCTTATTCCTATTTAATTCTGCCCCAATACCTCTGCTGTTTCTCCTTAATTGGTGGTGATGATGTTATGTTGTGGTGATGAGAACTCTCAAAGATGTTTAATTGCTAACAAAGTGCCTGTTGAGAGGAAATACTTTTTTTCTGAAGAAACTAGAAGGCATATGTGGAATCTTTCTGCCTCATCTCCCATCTTTAAAAAATACTTCTTCACATGGCTTTTCATGTTGTTTTATATTTTGACATAGTAGGACAAGTGAGTTATATATAGAACATAAAATTTTTAAAAAGACCATAATGGTCCCACTTTTTTCTGCTTAAATACAGAGATGCTAGAGCAGAGATAACTACATGAAAATAAAGTTTTGTGCCATCAGTGAAGAATGCAGGTTGATTTGGAAATGACGAAGCACTGGTATGATCTTCCAGAGAATTTTGGTCGGCTTTTTGGTTTCCTAATAAGCAATATAGAAGGCATTTCTCATCTGAAAAGGATCACACATATCTTGGAGCCTGTCATCTTTTCTTTCTATAGATTTTAATGTGCCATAAATCATTTAAAGCAAAACAGATCACCTTAAGACATGATGTTCAATTCATTCTGAATCAGGGTCCACGTCTATGATACTTAAAGACAGATGCCAAATTCTTGTCCTGCCCCCTCTATAGAACATGTAAAGTGTAACTGAGGTCAAAAATTCTACTGTGGCTGAATCAGTTGCATGTGTGAACTTCAGATTGTTTTAATATGAAATAAAATATTTCTTAGGCCTTTAAGTCCTAGTTTTGTTTTTCTTGGTAACTCTAAATAGGTTCAGTTTTAAGGAGTTCCTCATTACCCCTAAAGTTCAAATTTTATCCTTAAGCTCCTGAAATATGCAGCCTTGTCTCTAGTATTTTAACTGTCCGTAGAAACCATTTAGGCTTTTAAATACTTTTTTTCTGTTGGCAATCTGCTATTTGGCAAAAAATTTTTTTTCTTACAGATGAACTGATGTATCATTTGTAAGTTTTATTCTTTACACAATATCATCATTCTGATTCTTTGGGGAAATTAACTTTCTGCACGCTTCTGTTGAGAGTGTTAAAATGAAAGAAGTTTCAGCCAGATGTCTTATTATTTAGGATAGGCCACTTCTAAGACACATATAGTTAGTATATGAAACACTAGCAATTTTTCCCTATGTATAATCTTAAATGTTGAAACAAAATTAAGAAAAAGTAGCAATGATATAAAGCCTATAGTTTTAAAAGTAAGACTTCCCTAATTACATTTCATCCTCTTTAGAAGTCATTTAAAACAATTATTAGTTCTTGCCCTTCTTTACAGTAGTGTTGAGGAAATGGTTCAAAAAGGTAAATATTAATAACCATCATTTACAGTAAGTACTTTAGCTTGTAAATCTTATTTTCTTGATTCTGGGTCCCATTTCCTTTCCTTTGCATTAATTCATTAAACGTTATGTATGTATGTATGTATGTATGTATGTATGTATGTATGTATTTAGAGACAGAGTCTCACTCTGTTGCCCAGGCTGGAGTGCAGTGGTGCAATCTCGGCTCACTGCAACCTCCACCTCCCAGGTTCAAGTGATTCTCCTGCCTCAGCCTCCCGAGTAGCTGGGATTACAGGCACATGCAACCGTACCTGGCTAACTTTCATATTTTTGTAGAGAAGGGGTTTTGCCATGTTGCCCAGGCTGGTCTTGAACTCCTGACCTCAGGTGATCCACCTGGCTCGGCCTCCCAAAGAGCTGGAATTATAGGTGTGCACCACCATGTCTGGCCAAACATTATTTATTGAGTGCATACTACATGCTAGCCATACTCTGTGTTAAATATACAGTTTTGTGGGAGAGGCAGAAACACAAATGAAAAGTTACAAAGCAATATTGAAAAGTTCTGTAAAATGATGAGAAGGTGATGTCAGCTTCATTGGTTGAGGGCAGGGAGAGGGTTGTTAGGGAAGCTTTCTAGAGGAGGCACTATTTAATCTGGACTTTAAAAATAGTAAGATTTATTCAGAAAAAGAGAAAGTGATGAGAGAAGAGTATTCCAGGTGAAGAAACAATGTGTGAAAATATGTATGGGCAAGAGACAGTATTGTGTGGTTAGAAAACAGCTAATAGAGGCGTATGTCTATAGAACAGAGGGCTGTCTACAGAAAGAGGGCAGTAAGCAAAGAGATGAGGGCTGGAAAAGATGAAACTGGAACGGCAGGAGGGATTCATTATAGAACACAATACTCATGATGTGGAGCCCATGACAAATACATTAAGCACAGGAACGAATAATGAGGTGTGTGGCTTAGAAAGACAGTGGTATTGAGAATGCATCAGAAGAGGACGAGCTGGGAAGACTACCAAAGTGGCTTATTATGGCTGAGCAAGGTGGCTCAAGCCTGTAATCCCAGCACTTTGGGAGGCCAAGGCAGGTGGATCGCTTGAGGTCAGGAGTTTGAGACCAGCCTGGCCAACAAGGGGAAACCCAGCCTCTACTAAAAATATAAAAATTAGACTGGCATGGTGGCTCACGCCTGTAATCCCAGCACTTTGGGAGGCTGAGGCGGGTGGATCACGAGGTCAGGAGACTGAGACCATCCTGGCTAACATGGTGAAACTGCATCTCTACTAAAAATACAAAAAATTAGCTGGGTGTGGTGGTGGGTGCCTGCAGTCCCAGCTACTCAGGAGGCTGAGGCGGGAGAATGGTGTGAACCTGGGAGGCAAAGCTTGCAGTGAGCAGAGATCGCGCCACTGTACTCCAGCCTGGGCAACAGAGCGAGACTGCGTCTCAAAAAAAAAAAAAAACAAAAAAATTAGCTGGGCATGGTGGTGGGTTATAATCCCAGCTACTGGTGAGGCTGAGTCAGGAGAACCACTTGAACCGGGAGGCAGAGGTTGCAATGAGCTGAGATTGCACCACTGCACTTCAGTCTGGGCAACAGAGCACGACTCCATCTCAAACAAAAGGAGAAAAAAAGGTGGCTTATTGCAGTTGTCCTGGTAAGAGGTCACAGGTGCTGGAACTAAAGCAGTGACAGGGGAGGAGAAAGTGGCAGTTGCACTGAACAGATATTTCTGAGGCCAAACCTGCAGATTTGTATGTGAAAGCTGAGGCAGGAGGAGAAGTCCAAGGCAGTTCTGAAGTTTCTGCATCGGACTTCTGGCTACCATCTGTTGAACTGTGCCCATGTGCCACACTCAGTACCTCATATACCAATTTCATTCGTTCTTCCAATACCTCACAAGGCTGTGGTATTATCTCCATTTTTTGGATGAGGAATCTAAGAGGTGTAGTAACTTGTTCAAGGTCACACAATTAGTGATTTTGAAGTGGAAAGTGAACCCATACCAGTTTGACTCTAAAGACTGGGTTCTAAACACAGAATATAGAAGATTAATTTAGAGAAGGAGAAGAAAGCACGTGGTGGTGACGGTTTGCATTGTTTGTTTAGGAGTAAAAAAATAGGGGAAGAGGCCGGGGCGGTGGCTCACACCTGTAATCCCAGCACTTTGGGAGGCTGAAGTAGGTGGACCACCTGAGGTCAGGAGTGGCCAGCCTGGCCAACATGGCGAAACCAGCCTGACCAACATGGAAACACCCTGACTCTACTAAAAATACAAAATTAGCTGGGCATGGGGGGGCATGCCCATAATCCCAGCTACTTGGGAGGCTGAGGCAGGAGAATCATTTGAACCTGGGAGGCAGAAGTTGCAGTGAGCCAAGATCACACAATTGCACTCCAGCCTGGGTGATAAGAGCAAGACTCTGTCTTAATAATAATAATAATAATAATAATAAAATAGGGGACGAGAGAATTGATTTGGGCATCTTGCCTTTGAGGTACTGTAGTACAATTGTGTGGAGATGTCTGGAATCAGCAGTCTCCAAATGAAGCACCACTAATTGTTTCTTCCCCCTCCTAAGGCATTCTATATACTTGGAAATGATATTTATATCATTTTTCTGTCTGTTGTTAGCTGAACTTTTTTCGGGTGAGAAGAAACTTCATAATTTCCTCATTCTTTTTTTTTTTTATTTTGCTAGATTCACTTATTCTGAATGAAAGGAACAGAAAGTACTTTTGTTCTGCAATATTTTCTGTGCAAAAATCTCATGTATTGTTTGTCTTTTTTTTTTTTTTTTTTAAGAGGCCTGAGAGCTTGGTGAACTTCTGAAATAGAAAAATTTTGACTTTTGCTTTACAAGTGGTGAAGTGCTGTGTTTATTTTTTCTTGTTTGTTTCAGATATTTGCTACAACTTTCTAGTTGCTTTTGGCAATAAATATTAGAGTGTTGTCATTTTACTTTTACGGGAAAGACCATAACTAGTCAAAGGGGAATCATTACCACAGTTATATAGTAAAGTTTTAGTATTTAACAATGGCAAGGGCAACTACCCATGAAGCAACTAATAATTAACATCCCTCATCTCAGGAGCATCACTGGAACCTATTGGGACTGTGTGGTGGTCAAGGTGCACCGGGATAATGTTAGAAAGTTTGTGAACACCCAGGGAATATTAGCAGAGTCATGTAGTCATGAAATACCTGGGTGGCATTGTAATCTCTGTACCAGAATGTAGGTCTGTGGGGGAACAGAAAACCAAACACCGCATGTCCCTACTCATAAGTGGGAGATGAACAATGAGAACACATGGATACAGGGAAGGGAACATCACACACTGGGGCCTGCTAGGGGGAAAGGGGAGGGAGAGCATTAGGGCAAATACCTAATGCATGTGGGGCCTAAAACCTATATGATGGGTTGATAGGTGCAGCAAACCACCATGGCACATGTATACCTACATAACAAACCTGCACATTCTGCACATGTATCCCTGAACTTAAATCCCAGAACTTCAAGTAAAAAAAAAAAAAAAAAAAAAATTAAATTCCAGAACTTACATACACACACACACACACACACACACACACACAATAAATTTAGGTCTGTGGAATTATAGGTTAGTTCTTATTTGATAAATAAATGAACTTGGGTTCACTGATATGAAAATGACATTTTGTTTTCCCTTGCTGTTTCCACTTGCAGGTTTTGGCATGGAGGCAACCTTACTCCTGGTGGTTGGCTTTTCCCATACCAAAGGGGTGGCTATCTCCTTTCTGGTGCTTGCTGTAGGATTTAGTGGCTTTGCTATTTCAGGTAATGTGTCCTTTGGGTTTCCAGGTCTTGACTATAGATTCAACGAGTCCCAGGAAGAAGGAAGGACAAGGATATTGTAGCACCTTCTTTCAGGAACCAGTCCATTCTCAGATAGCAGGACCACTGCCCAGAGAATGTCATCTAGTAGGGGTGATTTTGTAAGATCACTGAGAACTGGGCTTGGGAGCTCAGTTAAGGTGGAATTTTTCCTACTTACCTTGTTATGGGAAAAGACACAAAGCGCAGATGACCCTTCTGAGATATGAGCAAAGGCCCAAGCGTATGTCCTGGGTGAAGTGGACTTACATACTTTAGCACCATGTCACCCTACCTGATAGAGGCTCCTGTGACTTTTTAAAGCCTCGCCTCTTGCTAGAGAACTGTGAGTATCATTACAGTCATAGAATCAGAAGCTTTTTTAAGAGTGAAAACCTTCTTTAGATTTTTGTCTACTCCATTACTTTCATTTTCCAAACAAGAAAATGTGGGTCCAGAGAGAGGAAGTGACTTTCTGAACCGGGTAAAGCTGTTGAGAATAATGACAGTGATGATGTGAGCTAGCGATGACCAAGCACAGATTCTGTGCCAGGGACTGTTCCATGCGATCTGCGTGTATTAAGGCCTGTCTCTCTCACAACTACTCTGCTGGGTATCAGTGCTGTTACGATCCCCATTTTACAGGAGCAGAAACCGGTCTACTGTATGTGAGAGAGAGGCCAGAGGGCAATCATATCAGGAGCTTCCTATGCAAAACTGGGTCAAAGGGTGAAATTTAGTTGTTTGTCTATCTTTAAAACATTGTAATAAGAAATATGGTGACTGGCCAGGTGCGCTGGCTTATGCATGTAATTGTAGCACTTTGGGAGACCGAGATGAATCCATCACTTGAGCCCAGGAGTTCGAGACCAGCCTGGGCAACATGGCAAAAACCCATCTCTACAAAAAATACAAAAAGTTAGCTAAGTGTAATGGCGCACACCTGCGGTCCCAGTTCCTCAGGAGATTGAGGTGAGAGGATGGCTTGAGTCTGGGAGTTGGAGGTTGCAGTGAGCTGAGTTCGTGCCACTATACTCCAGCCTGGATGACAAAGTGAGACCCTGTCTCGAGAAAAATAAATAAATAAATAAATAAAATAAAAATAAAAAATGGTTACTTAAAGAAAATTTTACATATATTGCATATATCTCACAACATTGTGAAGCGAGTAGTAGTATATCACTACGTTACTGATTTTTCACTATTTTACTAAAGCTCAGAAAAATTTAATACTTTCCTGATGTCACACAGTTAGTGGCAAAGGAAGGATGCCAGAACACTTCTGTGTGGCCCAAAGGCTATGCTCCTTCCATTATTCCAACTTGCCTTAGATATCAAATAGTGTTAGTGTCCAAGAATAGAAACATATGGAACCTCTGGTCTAAACTGCCCTAAGACAGGGGCTTGTATCTGTCAAAATAAATAGAGCTGATGAATAGTTAAATTAGAAAATAAAGTAAAAGTCTAAATTAAAAGTAACTTGCAGCTAAGTAATTTGGTTTAGAGATGCATAGATCTGGGGTGGGGTTTGAGGCCCTCTTTACTACTTACTATTTATAAAAGAAAAAAATTGCTAAATTATGAAAACTCTCAAGCTTCAGTTTTCTCATCTAGAGATTGGAGAGATGAAACAGCAACCCATAGGGTTGTTGGGAGGATAAACTTAGATAATTCATGCATTTCCTCGCACTTCTTGTGTGCTGGGCATTATTCTTAGCACTGGGGATATTGCAGTGAACAAATGAAAGAGTCCATCCCCATAAAGTTTGCATTCTAGTGGAAATATTTATTCAAATAAAAACTTTAGCTTTATTTATTTGAAGCCCTTAGCACAGTGCCAGATGCATAACAAAATTAATGAGTGTTCACCATTATTGTTCTATTAGTACACACACCAGTCCAGTGCTTCTCAGAGTTATGTGAAATCACCATAGGATATTTCAGAATGCAGATTCTGACTTGGAAGCTCTAGAGTGGAGCCTGAGATTCTGCAGTTTTAGTAAGCTCCCCAGCGCTGCTGCTGCTGCAGGGCAATCCACACTTTGAGCGGCAAGGGCACAGCAATCACGACTTGCTTCCAGAAGGATGCTAAGGAACGACTTCCCTTGATAACTTTGTGAGCAAAAGAGATCCATATCCTGTTCCCAGAGATACTGAAATGTTCAAGTTCATATTGCTTCCTTTCCCCCAATTGCCAATTAAGTCACAGTCTGAAGGAGAGAAACCCAATACTCCAAATCACAGACGCTGCTTTTTTTTTTTTCCTTTTTTTTTTTAGACAGGGTTTGTTGCCTTGTGCAGTGGTTCATGCCTGTAATCCCAGCACTTTGGGAGGCCGAGGCAGATGGATCACCTGAGATCAGGAGTTCAAGACCAGCCTGGCCAACATGGTGAAACCCCATGTCTACTAAAAATACAAAAATTAGTTGGTTGTGGTGGTATGTGCCTGTAGTCCCAGCTACTGGGGAGGCTGAGGTTGCAGTGAGCCAAGATTGCACCACTGCACTCTAGCCTGGGTGACAAAGAGAGATTCTGTCTCAAAAGAAAAAAAAAATTAGACAGGGTCTCGCTCTGTCACGCAGGCTGGAGTGCAGCGACATGATCGCAGATCATTGCAGCCTCTACCTCCCATGCTCAACTGATTCTCCTGCCTCAGCCTCCTGAGTAGCTGGGGCTACAGGCATGTGCCACCATGCCTATATATATGTGTGTGTGTGTGTGTGTGTGTGTGTGTGTGTGTGTGTGTGTATAAATTTATTTATTTATTTATTTTCGAGACAGGGTCTCACAATGTTGCCTAGGCTGGTCTCGAACTCCTGGCCTCAAGTGATTCTCCTGCCTCGGCCTCTCAAAGTATTGAGATTACGGGCATGAACCACCACATCTGGACTTCTTGCCACTTTTTAAACATGATTTCATTTAATCCTCATCACAACCTTGATGAGAAGGGTATTGCTATATTCACTTTATTGGTGGGGAAACCAAAGTGTGGTTTAACTCTCCCAGCGAAGTGACTGGGAGTGTGGAATAAAGGTCTGTTGGTCCCAGCAATGACACTGTGGGAGAGATTGTGGCCACGGGGCAATAATTCCTCAGGATCTACTGTCTGCCAACTTTTAAAGGAATAAACATGGATGCCAGGGAAGACTGACTGGCACAATTTAGGAGCTGATTATAGACAAGACTGCTGAGATAGATGAGGTTAAAAATAGGCAAGGAATGAGTGATGCCTGTTTTGGGAAATGTCCTATACAGAGAAGACAGATTCTCTCAGTTTGTGTGTATTTTTTTTCATCTGCTATAAAAATCTATCAATATCTCAATTTCTCAGTGATTTCCCCTCCTCCCCAAATGTCAGGATTGTGCAGCTAGAAACCTAAATGGCTTTTCCCACATTATCTGTAGCTGAATGTAGTTGCCCAGGCTTTGTATCAGAGCATAATACTCAACAATCATATTAATTGCTTCTTATCTCTGGATTCTTTTCTAATAAAGTGTTTATTACATTCAAATCAGTGATAAGATTAATGAACTTGCAGCTATTTTATATTCTGATCATTTGGCACATTGACCTGAAAGAGAAGGTATGTTTATTATTACCAAAAAGTTTTCTCAAAATTTCTCCCCGAAGGGAGGTAGAAAAGACAACCAACCAATGTGCCAGATTAGAACAAAAAATATTTTAAGTCCTATTTTCAGTTTTTTTTTTTTTTTGCACAGAATAGAGAAGTAAAAAGCAAAGCAAAGGAAAACAAAAAGATGAATAAAGCCTACAACTCCTTGCTATAATTTCAGTAGGTGAAGGTGGTAATTAATTTAGCAACTATTTATTGAGTGACCACAATGTGCCAGGCACTTTGCTAGTTCAGGGGAGATGGTGCTAAACAAGACGGATGGCTAACCACCTGTAAAGAGCATGCATATTGGTTTACATGTCTATACACCGTGTAGTTAACATACATTATTTAACTTAATTCCTACGTCAATATTATAAGAATCGTTATGCCATTATATAGATAAAGAAACTGAGGTTCAGGAAGTTTAAATCCTTGGTCTAGGCTTGCATCTCAGTTAAGCTACCAGAATTGAAGTCTGTCTAATTCGAACATGCAACCCTGCAATATATTGACAACGTCGGATCTGTTTGCTGCAACTTCCGCCTCCTGGGTTCAAGCGATTCTCCTGTCTCAGCCTCTCAAGTAGCTGGGATTACAGGCATGTGCCACCAGGCCTGGCTAATTTTTGTATTTTTAGTAGAGGTGAGATTTTGCCATGTTGTCCAGGCTGGTCTCGAACTTCTGACCTCAGGTGATCCGCCCGCCTCAGCCTCCCAAAGTGCTGAGATTATAGGCGTGAGCCACCATGCCCGGCCAGCAGCATTATCTTTTGATAGAAAACCTCAAAGAGAGGGAGTTACCTGGCAGTGGCAGCAGAAGGTAGTAGTAGTAGTGGTGGTAGTATAGCTTCGATATTTGCTTCACATACCTATTTCCCCTGAGTCTCTATCACTCTATCACTTTATGAAGTGAGTAGTAATATTATCCTCATATCGGAGATGAAGAAACAGAGGCCCCCAAATTACTTGTTTACATAGAAGAAATAAGATTCAAGTCCAGATTTACAAACTCCAAATCCAGTAGGTGTGTGAAAGTGTTTTGTAAATTGCAGAGGTTCTCCTAAGGTTTGTGCAAATGTTTCATTAAAAAGCACCATTTTCATTGTGTGAAAATGTGGCCATGTGGCCAATAAGGTAGGCTGACTCTTGGCTGCCTTTTAAGAGTAAGTCGAGGGTAGGAGCGGGAATATTATAAAGCAAGGTTTGGTTTCGTCATACTGTATATGATTGCATGATTATTTACTCTGAATAAATGTGATTCAGTCTTTAGGCTTTTCAGTATTGTGCCAAACACCGTATTTTGGAATTCAGAACCTACAAGGTAGAGATGCCATAATTCTCCTTGTAGAGAAAGCCCATAATAGATATCCATAATCAGTTCGAGCATTGTCTACCAGTACTGCTTTGTGTAGACACAGCCTCTTGAACCCAGTCCTCTTGGTCTGGAAACTAATATGCATCAGTCATATACTAGAGGAAACCAAACAGATTGGCAAAGGTTGGGACAACTGAGTATTTTCCAAAGTGTATTTGGAATTCTGTTCTTGACTCTGATTTTGAGGTTTTGGCTTCACTGTAGGTTTTAATGTCAACCACCTGGATATTGCCCCCCGCTATGCCAGCATTCTCATGGGGATCTCAAATGGAGTGGGAACCCTCTCTGGAATGGTCTGTCCCCTCATTGTCGGTGCAATGACCAGGCACAAGGTAAAGGTCTCCTTTGTGGCTGTGGGTTACAGTGTCAGAGGACTGGAGCACTAACACAAACTTGAGATTTCAAGGCTCTATCGCAGTCTGTAAATGTGTATGTCCTTGACCTTGACTGAGTCAGCTGAACTTCTTTTATTTTATTTTCTTCTTCTGATTTTCAAATCATTGCTTATCAATGGCACCAAGGCTAATTGTTGTTTTGTTCTATGTTTTTTCAATTGAGCAATAAAAGTCTGGGGAGAGGGGTATGGGCCTTAGAAACTGTTTAGAGACACAAAGAAGAAACTGAGGCAGTCAACTCGGGATAAATGAGTTACTGAAGATTGTTTTCTCATTCTCAGTGATTAAACTTTATAACCTAATTCCATCCATTGCTTAGCATGTTTCAGCATGAAAAGATGAGTGTTATTCTACTTCCTTGTTAAGAATAAAATAAACAGGACATTAATAACCTACCCAGTTGTTACTGAGCCTTTGTGAATTTGGACTAGGGTGAGTGGTAGAGGCAGATCCATCCAGAATTCAACCACAGCCCACGTGATTTCTTTATCTTTGTCACTGAAACGTCTCAAGATGCTGCTTTCTGCAAATAAAAATTCTCTGATACCATGGGATTTTTTTTCCCTCAACTGTTTTCTTAGTTGGATTGCCTATTACAAATATAACTTCAGAAGTTTTTTCAGCTTCCTGCAGAAGAAAGTGTGAGAAGGCCGAGCGCGGTGGCTCACGCCTGTAATCCCAGCACTTTGGGAGGCCGAGGCGGGCGGATCACGAGGTCAGGAGATCCAGACCATCCTGGCTAACACGGTGAAACCCTGTCTCTACTAAAAATACAAAAAAATTAGCCAGGCGTGGTGGCGGGCGCCTGTAGTCCCAGCTACTCAGGAGGCTGAGGCAGGAGAATTGCGTGAACCTGGGAGGTGGAGCTTGCAGTGAGCCCAGATCGCACCACTGCACTCCAGCCTGGGCGACAGAGTGAGACTCTGTCAAAAAAAAAAAAAAAAAAAAAAAAAAGGTGTGAGATAAATTTTCTTCCTTTTTGACAGAAAAGGAAGGTAGGATTTTATAGGCAGGGAATTCATGTTTTCCCTCTCTGTTCATGGAATTATAGGATTGATAACCTGACTGTTAAATCCAAGATATCTTCCCCCAACCTTAGACACAAATTCCCATTATTTTTTGACATACTTTTTTTTATACTGAAAATATGATTATAAATAAAGTTCTTGCCAGTCAAGGGTGAGAACTTTAATGGCTCAAATATTGTTATGTATCCAACAACAAGCAAGAAGGAGACTTCTGATATTTAAAACAGCGGGTTCCTAAAACAAGTTTAATTTAGCTGACTATGTGAAGGGAAACCCCATTTGAGTATTCAAAAAGCTATGCAATGGTGCTGCATGTATTAATATTTTTATGTGCTGTTTATTTTAAAATGTATTTTCATGTAATCCCAGCACTTTGGGAGGCTGAGGAGGGCGGATCACGAGGTCAGGAAATCGAGACCATCCTGGCTAACATGGTGAAGCCCCGTCTCTACTAAAAATACAAAAAATTAGCCGGATGTGGTGGCGGGCGCCCAGCCACTCAGGAGGCCGAGGCAGGAGAATGGTGTGAACCTGGGAGGCGGAGCTTGCAGTGAGCCAAGATGGCATCACTGCACTCCAGCCTGGGCGACAGAGTGAGACTCCGTCTCAAAAAAAAAAAAAAAAGTATTTTCTAAATTAAAAAAATTCATATTTATTGTCATGTCTAACTTTTATATTCATTGTAGTCTTCACTTTCATTTTTTAAGTTTTTCTTTTAAATTAGGTTTGAATCCTGGATGGTGCTTCTGACACACATCCTCCCTCCCAAGGAACAGAGCATTGCCTTCCAAATGGGCAGGTGCTTTTTCCCAGTAGAGGCCTCCAGGACATACTGGTAATCTCTGGTTTTAGTTAAAACATTAATTGGCACTTTATTTCCTTATTTAGACCCGTGAAGAATGGCAGAATGTGTTCCTCATAGCTGCCCTGGTGCATTACAGTGGTGTGATCTTCTATGGGGTCTTTGCTTCTGGGGAGAAACAGGAGTGGGCTGACCCAGAGAATCTCTCTGAGGAGAAATGTGGAATCATTGACCAGGATGAGTTAGCTGAGGAGACAGAACTCAACCATGAGAGTTTTGTGAGTCCCAAAAAGATGATGTCTTATGGAGCCACCATCCAGAATTGTGAAGTCCAGAAGAAGGAATGGAAAGGACAGAGAGGAGTGACCCTTGATGAGGAAGAGCCGACATCCTACCAGAATGAAGAGAGAAACTTCTCAGCTACATCCTAATGTCTGAGGTGCACTTCTGTCTTCTCCTTACTTTAGAACCAGAAACTATCCATACCTATTGCCTTTCTTTTAGCCCAGCTTGTCAGAAGTCCAAATATGGGGAGGGGAGAAGATCTACCCAGCAACAAGGAAAAGAGAAATACTATCTTTCAATGACACGTATAGGTAAGGAGCTGTGCTCAGCTGGTAACATAGTTGATAATACATATTTTTTTAATTGACAGTTGACCCTTCTCTCAAAGAGCTGAACTTACTCAGAAAGGAATGACTAGACGAAAAAGGAGACAATACCATGTTGTTCAAAGAAACATTGAAGGAAATGGGGATGTTTGGCCAGAAGGAATGTAAACAGTAGCAGTAGCTGCCACCACATCTCTAGGGTAGCTATGCAGAGGAGGGCTTCATATTCCCAATAAACCCCACGTTGTGGCAGGTGCTTTATAAACACTCTTATTTAATCTCCGCACCTTTATGACACACATTTCTTATCCCCATTTTATAACCAAGAAATCTAAAGCAACAAGAAATGAACTTGCTCAAGGTCATCTGCCAGGGTCAGTGCTGAGATTGTTGAAGCTCCCAATAGGTGGCAGTTTTTGGGAAGAAGATTTCCATTCAGTGTAGGGAAGACATTTGTAATAATGAAAACTGACAATGGAGTAATTGTGAGTAATTCACCATTTTAACAGGTGTCAGGGAAGGGAAACATTGGGTTGATGAGGCAGAGGGGATTCAAATGTGTGAGAGGCTAGATTCAAAGACCCTCAGTGTTCTATGTTATCTGAGGAGTCAAATGGTTCTGTGACTTCATAGTTTTTAAACTAATAAGGGTCACAGACTACATCAGAGATTCAAATAGTTTTTTTAAAGAAAAGCTAAGCAAGAGAGCCAAATTTTTAGGAATCTGATGGTCAAAATGGCTGAAAGCAGTAAGCAAGAGTTTGGTTATTAAATTTCAACTTTCCGTAATATTAAGAATGTAGCTAAATGATGTCCCAAATTACTTGTAAACTTTTAAGACATTTAATAATTTAAGAAGTAGGTTCATGTGTTTTCTTAGGTACAATTCTCCTGAAATAATTTTCTATCTAAAAAAATGTATATCTTTAGCCTTCTCTGCTGGAGATTATAATAGGAAGTTTCATCAGATTATACAAAATTATGATTTTGTATCAAAAGTATTCATGATGACTCTATTTGAAATGATATTCAGGGAAATCACAATAATATAGCAGTAGTTACACAGGGAAATCCTACAATGAAAACATTTGGGACAATTAGACCTACAGTTACTGTTGAAAAATTCACCTTTGATTGCATAAGGCAATTACATGGATACTTTTAGATATATTTAAATTTTTAACGTTGATATCTAGAGGGTTATTTGAAAATAAAATTATTTTCCTGTTCATTGGTTTTGAAAATTTTATTTCTACTTTCGGAAGAAAGATATAATATGGAAAAATTATAGATTTATTTGTAATTTATTATTGTAGGGTGGTTTTTTTTCTAATTTCTCCCACATGTATTTCTGGTCCCCAGTAATACTAGCTGAGTTGTAGTGTATTTTATAAACGGAATAATCTTGGGGAAAAATTGCGACTCTTCATTAAATAATATTCTTTATGTCATTAGCATACAATTTATGTTAGTAGACATCTTTAAATCTCTTTAATGAGTGAATCCATGCAAGCCCCATAGAACAGTTCCTAGCATGCAGAAAATGCCCAAGTAAATAGCTGTCATCATCATTATCATCTTTTAACATTTTGGGGGACTTTCCAGTTGAAAAGAAAACATGCTATGTCATTTTTATCCATTATCCCTGAAACTTATTGTGAAAGTTGTGCTGTTTGCTAAGTAAAATAAAAAATAAAAAATTAGCAATTTATGATAGCCAGTGTTTTATTTTGTGTGTGTGTTAATAAAGTCAAATAATTGTATTTTAAAAACTCATGATAATCCTTAGGGTAGTATTATATATTGTGACACAAAGTTGTATTTATCGCATCATTTGAAGTTGGTGTCATGTGCAGAAAATCCACATTTTTCCTGTAACTTGCTCTTATAATATATATTTTTTAAAAATGAAATCATGGATCAATGTGTTAAAAACTAGAAAATACATTATTTTGTTGTGATGGGTTTTTCTCTGTGTAGGTTGCAATTGATAAATAATTACATTTTAACACCAGACAGATGCCATTTGCAAGTCATTGTACATTTTGCTGCAAATGTCCATTTGTAGGTCAACTCATGGATGCAAACCGTGGATTCTAGCAGGAAGGGAAGGAGGCCTATAGGTGCAGGGTTCTTGAGACAAGAAAGATCTGATGATCCTTTCCAAAAAATCAAAGTTTTGGAAATTCCTTAATATGCCAAGAAAAGTAAGTATTAAAGAAATAATGGCCCATTTGTATCCCTGTCTGGATGTTAAATTCAAGAGGTAAAAATTGGAATCTACTATGTGTATTTCTATTTCACTCTGCCTCCTCCTAACCCCAATAAATCTTTTTCTTTCTCTATTTCTTATCTCAGTTAGTCACATTATCCTTTTGCTCAAGCTAGAATTCTTAGAGTCATCCTTGACTTAAAATTTTTTCCCCTTCTCTTTTTTCTCTGCTAAGTTCATGTAATTTAATTTTCAATCTGTAGATCCATGTCTTACATCAGCTTGGGAAAACTCTCTCCATTACCTCTTAATATACTGCTTTTGCTCCATTCTCTCTCTCCTGTTTTTCTAGGCATTCAGTTAAATGTATTCTAGACTGTATGTAGGTGTCTGACCACCTGTTTTGTATTTTCCAATGCTTTGCCTCTTTATATGTCACGCTGGATATCTTCTCCTGACTTATTTTTCAGTTCTTTATCTCTCTCTTCAGTGAGGTCTAACCTGTAAAAATCCATCCATTGTGTTCTTAATCTTAGTGACTGTATTTCCAGTTCTAGAATTTTTATTGGCTCTTTTTCGTTTCTGCTATGTCTTTTAAAAAACATTTCCAGCTCCTTGCTGAAATTTTCAATACCGTATTTTATTTTCTGGGACATAGTAAGCTAATGGTTTTAAAGTCTGCTCAGTGCCAATATTTGGAGACCATATTAGTCTGTTTTGTTGTTGTTGTTGGTTTTGCTGGTCCTTATTCATACTATCTTAACTGCATCTATGCCTGGTTTTCCTTGATTTTATCAGCCATTGCATTTGAAAAATTATTTGTAGAAATAATTTTTAGCAATTTTAGCCATGAAATAGTGCTTCTTCTTCTTTTTCTTTTTTTTTCCTTCTAGGAGATCTTTGTTTGCTTCTTTCATGAGCCTAAGGGCATTAACTGTCTGGGATCATCTTAGTCCAGTTGTAGGGCCTTAGGTATTTTGTGCCATCCAGATGATTTGAAGCTGGACAACAGGATGTGTGAAGGCTCTTTTACTTCCTATTCACCCTTACTGCTAGAATATAGCACTTAAGGGTCCCAACCTGCCCTACAATGGTTTAACCAGAGTCCAACTCTTGTCCCCAAACCAGGCTATCGAAGACACTGCTCAGCTTTGTTAGAATTAACAAACACTGGCTTTGTTAGAATTAACAAATTCTCCCAGGAGAAAAGTGGCCTCAAATGTCAGAGTCACTTCTCTGGATTTTCATCTTCTGTCAGATGTCAGATGGTAGCCTGGAAATTTTTCACTACCATGTTGGCTTTCCAACGCTTTTGAGAGAATTAATTTTTTCTTTTTTTTAGTTTAACTTTCCTAGTAGGAAGATTGGTCTGAATTACCTAGTCTGCCCTTAATAAACGCTGAAATATCTTTTAATTTTAACTTCACAAGTTCTCTCAAACTAATCTACCTCCTTAGGGGTAGTGTGGTAATAAATTAAACTTAGATCTCAGTAGTTTAATATAGCAAATGTTTAGTTCTCTCTTGAGAAGAACTAGTTGAAAGTGGGTTGGTTGGGGTGGAGTGGAGTGGAGGCTTGTTCCAGACAGTCACTCAGGCATCCAGGATGTATTTTCTCCATTCAGCATCTTGTAGTCAATTATTGGGAACATATAAATTCTGATATCACCATGAAAGGGAAAAGGAGAAGGAGGCACACTGGGTTTTACTGCTTCACTTGGAAACAACACAGTCACTTTTGGTTGTGGTCCATTGACCTATGCTAGCCACACAGCCCCAACCTAACTTCAAGGGTGGCTAGGAAACAAAGGGGAACACGTAGATTGCTGAGCAAGCATGAATTACACTTCCATTCAGCTCTAGCCTTGGTTCAGGGTCTTACGAATTCTCACTTAGCATATTGAAATAGTTTTCTAACCCCAACTGTCATAAATGATGTAAACTTGCTATGTGTCATTCTGAGAGATCTGAACTAGGTTGTAAGGAGCAAATCTTTATAGTGAAAGGGGCCATGAGCTTCCTCCAGGGAAGACCGGAGACCTCAAAGATATCAATTCCCTGGAATAAAATAGATTCTGGATGATTCTAACTTGAATTAATAACTACATGGGCCAAACTAAAGGGGCAGGGAAGTTGACTTTTCCTTTAGATTACATGTAGTACTATATCCCAGGCCTTATACTAAGTCCTTTTCATACATAATCTCATTTAATTCTCATGGCAACCCAATGAGAAAGGGTTAATGATTTCTTCCCAAATATTTATTAATAAGTAAATGGTATTTCAGAGAAGAATTTAAAGTCAGGTCCCTAAAGGCCATATTTTAATCTTAATTCTTAATTAAGACTAATAATCTATTCTTAATTTTTAAATTCTTTAACCATAAGTCTAATTAAGATCAAACTCATATTTTAATCTAATCTTAATTAAATCATACTCTTAATTCTTAACTTTTAATCTGTTCTCTATGGCTTCTACTGGCTAGCAGTAATTCCAGACAGTGGTGTTCTCAAAGTCAAGAGTGTTCCAGTTATTTCAGTGAAGTATGATCAAAGTGATGGAATGAGCTCTGGCAGCTTACTCTAGACCCAAGGAGATAGGGACAGGTGAAAAACCAGATGAATGTGTGAGATCTTTCTTCTCATCAACTGCTGGACTGCAGCAGGACGTGAGAACCAGGGGCCCCTGTATTTCCCCTATTTCCATAGCTACACAGATAGGTAAGATAGGAAAAAGTTGAACCCAATGCTTACTGGGTGTGTTTGTGTTGAGTGAGGGTTCGTTTGCAAGGGGCTGATTTTTTCCCCAGGAATCCCAAGTTTAGACACAACAAACATCCAGCCACACAGTACATGCCTTGCATAGATGGGGTGCTCAACCAATATGGTCTTCAAAATCTGATGTGGTATTTAAGGAGATTATGCTGGTGATGGCACTCAGGTTGTCTTGTTAAACATGGCAGAACAAATGCAGTCATTTCTAGCCGATTTCTAAAACTAAAATAAAAAAACACATAAACTTGCCAGGGCAAAGTGAAAGTGGGAGAAAAATCACATTTAGAAAGCTGAATGGGGATGCATGAGTCTTAACTGACTTCAGCAGAACTGAGTAAGAAAGAAGAAAGCTCTTTCATGTTACTGCACCCAAGAAAGGTTTAAAATGGAAGGTACCAGCACCAGGTACCTCTGGAGGACAGAGTGAAGAGAGTGGAGTGGGGTTGAGGAGGACTGAGAACATAAGGACTGGCTGAAAGTTAACATTACCAGATTTAGCAATGCTGTTGAAAGTGCATGTAAGAAGCAGTTATCACCCCAGATCTCTCTTCCACCAGCTCAACCAAGAAACTGTCCCTCCCCATACCTACTGGAAAACAGGAGGTTCATTTTCTGGATGTGGGCACTATGGATTCAAGAACACCCATAATAGCTGAGTATCAGCTCCAAAGGCTAGAGCATTTTGGTTACTGATATATCTCAAGTATCTAGAGATGCCTGGCATTTAATAGCCACCTGGAAATTATTTTTCAAATGCATACATGAATGAATGAATCTTGTTAAACACAGGGAAATTAATCAAAAGTTTGCATGCTGAACACTGAAAACTTCCAGCTGCCTTGTTGGGCTGAGCTTCCAAAATGCTGCCAGTCAGAATCATATCCCTTAGGCAGGAGATTATAGGATTCATGGGATGAGTGGTGGGAACTCACATATAAGTAAAAGGGCTTATAACTATTGACATTTGGGGGTTTCCCCATCAAAATAAAATGATCTTTGCCTAGTCACTTCCTGTAGGACCTACCCACCAAGCCCTGCCCAAGGGAATTATTCATTCATTAATTCACTTATTCATTCCACAATATTTTTTTTTTTTTTTTTTTTTTTTGAGACAGGATTTCACTCGGTCATACAGGCTGGAGTGCAGTGGCACCATAATGGCTTACTGCAGCCTTGACCTCCTGGGCTCAAGCGATCCTCCCACTTCAGCCTCCTGAGTAGCTGGGAGTACAGGCATGTGCCACCACGCCTAGCTAAGTTCAACAACTATTCAGCACCTGTAATGAGCACCTCTAATGTTCTAGGCACTAGGGCTAGAAAATAAATAAACAAAATAGGTCTCTGCTCTTATGGAGCTTATATTCTGAGGGAAGACACAAAAAATAAGGCTGTTAATGAGTAAAACCAGGACACAGTATGCCAGTGCTAAGTGCTGAGAACAAACATAAAACCAGGTAAGGGCGGTGGGGAACATGAGGGATGATGTGTTAGGTCAAGTGTCCAGGGATAATGTGATCTTTGAGTGGAGAACTGAAGGCTGTAAGGAAGCAAGTCAAGTGCATTTTGGGGGACACGGTTCCAGGCAAAGGAAGAAACAAGGACAAAGGCCCTGAAGGGGGGACATGATGGGCATATTTAAAGAACACTAAGTCCCTTAAGGTACTCGGGTTCTGGACATGTTTCGAAGGAAGAGGAACATTTTCTGAGAGGCAGAAGACTGGGGAGG